ATTAAGTGGCATTAACTACCCTGAAGCCTGCCTCAGTTTTTCTTTTCCTGCCTGTGAAAGTAGAGAGAGCTCTTCTTTGGGAGAGCATCAGCATCACATCGCTTGGGCTGATTATCAACAGGCAGTGCCTGTCTGCATCTTTTGACAGAAGCCAGCACCTGGGCAAGATAGCTTCAGACTGATCTTTTGTCCAAGGGATCTAAGGGCCAAGATCTAAAGCTTTGACTCCTGAGAACGATTCTCTCCACCTGGTGCTCATGTGAAGGTGGGAGTGATTTCTAGATTGGGTCCATACTGGGTAAGATCTCTCTTGATTTGAGAAAAGTCACTGCTCCAGAAAGAAACTCTCTTAGACCATGGGGTATAGATGTCTTAGGATAGCCAGTCCATTCCACTCATCTAATTATGATCCAGGACTTGGTACTGGACTTTGGCAGTTCTGCTATGAATAAAGTCAGAACAGAAATAAAATGGCTGTCTTCCAGGGGCCTCAGGAAGGGTGTCAGTGTTGCCCAGGACCTGCTGGAGACACACTCACACCAGACTGCACAGAATCCGCTACATCATGACAGACATTGCCCAGGTGTTATGTTTCTTCAGCCAGTATCCCTCTGCTGCCCCAGTTCACTCTCTGTCCAAAAACTTAGGGTCCCTCTCTCACCTGCACACTGAGATGACCCTGTTTGGGTGATGAGACATCTCCCTGAGCTTTTCCTCTACTTCTATCCCAGACCCATAACCTTATATGGAGCTCAGATGTAGCAATGCTGGAGAGCTCTCCCTTCATGTAAAATCTCTTTATTTCACCAGGAGCTTCCAGAAGTCTCACCTGGGCTAAACTCAGCAGCACTTCAGTTAGGATATTTAGATGGTGGTTTTATTTTCACATTTGTTTTTTGAGAGGATATTCTATAATGCTATCTTCTTGCCCTGTACCATTATTTGCCTCTCTTCTTTGTGACTGAACTGGGTTTTCCTGACATGCCTAGACTCCTAATAAAGCTGTTTCTTCCTTGGTGCCTTCCCTTCCCCTCCCGGTTGTTTTGTGCAGAATGATGAAATAATTGGTCAATATCTCGGGACCACTACAAGTCTCCCTCAGTGACTGCATTCAGCACATAGCAGGCGATAGAGTAATGATAGTGCTATGGCAAAGCAGGGCCATTTGGTTAACAGAAAGAGCACTGAGCGGGGAGACACAAGACCTAATTACCTTTCCCAGCTCTACCACTAACAAGCTCTGCGGTACCGGGTGAGTCCCTTTCTCCCTCTACTCATTACCTTCATCTATAAAATGAGGGAACGATAATCTAAAAGTTTGTAGAATTCTACACTCCTGTGACCGTGGCATGGGCGATGTGGTAGAAGGAAAAGAGAAGATGTTCATACAAAGGCATACTGCATGCTTTAAGGCAATATGGTTCTCAACTGGAGGCAATTTTGCCCCTCAGGAGACATTTGGCAATGTCTGAAGACACTTTATATTGCCACACTGGGGGTGCTGCTAGCATCTAGCGGGTAGAAGTAAAGGATGCTGCCTTTATCCACTAGAAGCACAGGAAAGCCCCCCACAACAAAGAATTATCCTGCCCAAGATGTTAGTAATGCCAATGATGATAAACCCTGCTTTAAGGGGATCAGACTCTATCTTTTGCTCCTCCATGTTGCAGTCTCCTTTGCAATTCCTCATATTTAGTAACCTCATATTTAGTTCCTTTCTTGCTGTTGAGGAAACAGGAGTTTAATATGCTACATTGTGCTACAGTTATTGGCTCATCTTCAAACAGTGGTAACTAGGTATTGGTGAGGGTTCATGCAGAGAAGCAGAACCACTAGGAGTATATATACATTATCTGTATATGCAGTCTTTTAGAGGGATTTGACCTTACTGAAGTATGGCAGCTGGATGAATAGTCTTTCTAAGGTTGCTGTCTTCATTATCTGGTGATAGAGTTTACATGCAGTGGGGAAGGGAAGATATAAAGTGAGTGAGATCCGGGACAAGCTAGAGCCCATGAGAATGGACTAAGACCCTAGTCTGTTCTCACTGCCTCCAACCTTGACGAAGTGGGTATCCTGCAGGAAAAGCTGGTACCTTTGTCATGGGACTAAAAAACACCTGGCCTAGGAGTAAGCAGCTAAAGGAAGATCCAGGGGAAGGTGTGGTAGTTACAGGCCCAACTGCTGTCCCACACCAACAAGGTACCCAGCAGATAAGCAGCAACATGTGCGAACTACAAATGTGTCTGTCCCGACCTTGCAAGCTGAAACACAACTGGTTGCTGTTTAATTTCTACTCACCCAGTCTTGCACAAAAATATCTCCCATGGCCCACTCTAACCAGAAACATACAGGGAAGGGAATTCTAGAAAATGTAGTGCAGCCTAGCCAAGTTGACATGTTACAAAGCCACAGCAACTGAATCCTCATCTTTGAAAATGCTAAGTGAAAGATAGGCCTAGAATTCATGTCTGTACAACCTAACGTGTGTTGCATTGTTCGTGTTGATCTGGGAGGTTTTGAGCTCCTTTTTCCTTCAGGGCAGGAAACATCACTTGTAACATTAGGATGACCGGCCCACTGTTTGGTAGAAGGAGGTGTTCCTTAGATTTGATGAGAACTTCCATGTTTCTCACTTCAAGTGTTGGAGACTTTGCATTCATTCATTCATTCATTCATTATTTATTTATTTTAGAGACCGGGTCTTGCTGTGTTGCCCAGCTGGCCTCGAACTCCTGGGCTCGAGCAGTCCTCCCACCTTAGCTTCCCAAGTAGCTGGGATTACTGGCATGAACCACCATCCCCATCAACTTTGCTTTTAAAGAGATTGGAAATATGACATAACAGCCTTCCTTTAAGAGGGATTAGAGAAACCAGACACAAAAGGTCACATATTTTGTGATTCCATTTATATGAAATATCTGGACTAGGTAAATCCATATAGATAGCAGATCGATGGTGGGGAGGGATGGGGAGTAACTGCTTAAGGGGTGTGGGGTTTCTTTTGGGGGGTATGAAAATGTTTTGGAACTACACAGAGGTAGTGATTGTACAACACTGTGAATGTACCACTGAATTACTCACCTTAAAATGACTAATTTTATGTTAAGTGAATTTCTCCTCAAAATTTTGTTGATTTCTTTGAACACAACAAGAATGGGTTAGAAAAATAACTCAATTAGTGCTACTAAGATCTGTATGACATTCCAGTCTGTAAAAAAACTAGAAATCCAGAATCTTCTGCTGGGAAGGTCCCATACTTCCCTGGTATAGTACTCATGTAAGTAATGCAAGGTACTCGTGTCCTCATGTTCAGATCAGGAAAACCTCTAAGTGGGGCTTTCCCCTTTAAGACTCAGAGACTGAAGTAATCTGGTAGCTAAGGAGTCATAATGGCAAATTTCTTGGGTAATTCTCCTTAGAAATGTGGTTCTTACCCTCCAGGATCAGAAGTATGGAGCAGTAGGGCCGATCTTCTCTGTTTGGTGATAGATGTATGTAGATGAGTTTATGTATCTCTGGGTTTATTTTTAAAATCTAGATGTTCCTGCCCTACATAGGGGACCAGTGATATTTAGTTTGGGCTCTTTTTTATCCTGTGGGAAACAGAATTTAGTGAAAGGGAAGAATTTCTTCAAAATGTGTTCCTGTGTGTTCAGGCTTACTTCCAAAACATAGGAGGGATAGAAGGGAGAGGGTCCTGGCCCAAGAACACCTGTGAAACCTATTGCTAATGTAAAGTCCTCTGCTGAAAAAAGTGCCTGTAGCCTATGTGGAGAAACGTGACTTTGGGTTTCTGTTCAGATTTTTCATGCATCCAGGATTCCTGGGCAGTCAGTGAATCCAGGAGTCAAGGACCCACACTCAGAGAAATGAACGAGTTGAGAATCTGGGAGGAAAGAGCTGCTGAAGCTCACCATCGTGAGTGCTTGTGAATGGGGTGCACACACCATCATACACATGCCCTCCTTTGTAGACCCCTCTTTTCCAGGACAGGGGACCAAATTGATGCGTATCTGTCACTGCAGGAGATGGTGGCTTGAAAATGGACCTGCTAGAGGACCTTGAGTCCCTGCAGTTTGAGTATGGGATTCCACAGGAAGATAGTATTTTGCTGTATTTGCAGGGCCGTTTTCGGGGACTGATGATCAATGCCTGTGCCCATGCAACCTTCTTCTGCAAACTGTTATGCAATTTGAGGTAAGCTAGGTCTCCAAGTTCAGGAAGATGGACAGGAATCTCACCACTGAGAATTCAAGTGACTTAAACTTTTTGTATTGGAGGATGAGTTTGGTAGGGGGATTGTCTTCCTATCTTTTCCAACCTAGAGTCCGTCACTCCTGGTCTGAAAGGACCAGGAATATCCATACAAGGGCCTCCTAGCTGTGGTTACATAATAAAGCATGAATTAGTAGATGGATTGGTTAAATGATCATTCATCCATTCATTCACTCATTATCACCACCAGCTTATCTTCCACAGCTGCTAATTACTAGCCATTCCTTGTCTATTGGTGAGGAATGCAAACGGGGTCAGTACTTCCTTTTGAAATGGAGCTAATGGAATGCTTCCTCACAGGAAAGCTACCTGGCACTTTGCAGGCCCTATAGCCAGGTGACTTGCTTGAAACCAGGAATATTTGCAGAGAAACTCTCAGTCCAGTCCTGGTTTCTGGCATCTTTATACAATGTAGCTTCAGACACTTAAATGGGAGTATTTGAACCAGGTAACTAGAATTAGGCTCCTGGATTCTGTAACTTCAGGTCACTCTGGGAGCATCAATCACATCCTCACTCTACCTCTCAGATTACTTTTCTCTGAAGTTAGATTAATTCCTGGATGGTGGAACCAGATCTGAATTGAATGTGTTTATAGGTATAGCACATACCCAAGGAGGCAGGCTGCTTCATTGAGTTTGCTGATTAGCTTACTGATAAGAATGCATAAACCTATGGGTCGTACCCAAGATTGGGGGGGGGCATATGAAACTTACAGGAGGCATTTTATGTTTGGAACCATCAGGCACTAAGGGAAAGTACTCTTCCTTCAACTAGGAGACAAGCCTTAAATAGAATGTGATGCTCACATGGAAAATCCAGAGCTTTAAGACTAGTTTTTACAGAAATACGAAACAAATATGTTTGTCTTATAACAACAAAAGTAATACCTTATGTATTCAGAGGTCTGACTTTGTTAATCTTGCGCCAAGAAAACACATCCAGGACCAAAAGAGTAAGTGAATCTCTAGAAAAAATGGTTTCAAATCCCTCAGTTTCTCAGGTATGTATTGTTTTATAAACTATTTACTTTTATAAATCATGACATTATTTAAAAACTAAGTTATCTGGTTTCCCAGGTCTGTACAGAACTGAAATAGCAAACTAGAAAGAGTAGGCATATGGTAGGAGAGGAGTGCAATAGCAATGAAAATTGACAGCTGAGAGTGATGTCAGCAAGGTGGAGGAATAGAAAGCTGCAGATCTTGTAACCCCACAGAGACACTAACTTAACAACAATGTATAGTCCAGAAAGCTCTTACAAGAACTTCGGAAACCAGCTAAGAAGTTACAGTACCCCAGGCAAGTACAAAGCCAAGAACAGCTGCATTGAAAGGGGTCAGAAAAGACATTGCACTTCACCTGAGACAGCCCTTTCCTCAAGTCAGCACAACTCGATGTAATCAGAAGAAAATGCCTAATTTGTGGCTTCTCCCTTAGAGGGAAAGAAGAAAGTGGAATGTATGTCCAATATTCCAGCTTTTCAGGGGCTTCCTGAGGGATTGGCTTCTGTCTCACATGACTTGGAGGGAACCAACATATTTTGGATGAGAACAAAGGAAAGCTCAGTAGCTTGTTGCAGCATAGAAAACCTGCAGTAATGCAGGTAGGCACCAGAAGAGCAAGAAATTATGAGCTCCTGCAAAACAAACAGGCAAACCTCTCTAATTGGAGAATTACAAACCCAAGCCTAAAGACATTCTCAGAAAAGATCTGAGAGGTCACCAGAATCTCTAGCTGAGCTTATAGGTAAGGGTCTTCCCCTGCGTGAAGCCAGTCTGTAAAGATTGGGAGAGGTGGCAACTTTTTTCAAATGCCCAAATTCCAACAAAAGATAAGGCATTTGATGAAACAACAAAATATGGCCTAATCACAGGAACAAACTAAATCTCCAGAAACCAATCCTAAAGAAACAGAGATCTATGAGTTACCTAATAAAGAATTCAAAATAATCTTAAGTTCCATGAGCTACAAGAGAACATAGATAAACAACTAAATGAAATCAGGAATACAACATGTGAACAAAAGGAGAATATCAACAAAGAGAAACTATTAAAAAAAACCCAAACAAATTCTGGGGCTGAGGAACACAATAACTGAATTGAAAAAAATTCACCAGAGCAGTTGAACATCAGACTTGATCAAGCAAAAGAAAGAATCAGCGAACTGGAAGATGGGTCACTTGAAATTACTGAGTCAGCAAAAAGGAAAAGGAATAAAGACCAGGCATAGTGGCTCATATACTGTAATCCTAGCACTCTGGAAGGCCAAGGTCGGAGGATCACTTGAAGTCAAGAGTTCGAGACCAGCCTGAGCAAGAGTGAGATCCCATCTCTACAAAAAACAGAATCACTTGAGCCCCAGAGCTTGAGGTTGCAGTGAGCTATGATGATGACACTGCACTCTAGCTGGGGTGACAAGAGTAAGACTCTGTCTCAGAATAAAAATAAAAATAAGAAAAGGAATAAAGTGAGGACGTCTAAGGGACTTATGGGACACCATGAAGTGGGCCAATATACAATTCTGAGAATCTCAGAAGGAGAAGAGAAGGGAAAAAGTTCAGAGAGCCTATTTGAAGAAATAATGGCCCCAAACTTCCCAAATCTGAGGAAGGAAATGAATATCCAAATTCAAGATGCTCAAAGGACACTAACTTGGATGAACATAAAAGAGCAACACACAAAGATGCATTATGATCAAGCCATCAAAAGTCAAAGACCGAATATTGAAAGGACCAAGAACAAAGAAACTTGTTACAAAGGAGTTTCCATAAGATTATGTGGGTTTCTCAGCGGAAACATTGTAGGCCAGGAGGGAGTGGTTTGATACATTCACATAAGTGCTAAAAGAAAAAAAAAAAACCACAAGAATACTATATCTGCTAAAAAAGTCCTTCAAAAGTCAAAGAGATGCTTGAGGCCAGGAGTTTTAGGCTGCAGTGAGCTATGACCATGCCATTGCATTCCAGCCTGGGCAACAGCAAGACCTTGTCTCTAATAAAAAATCAAGGAGAAATCAAGACCTTCCCAAATAAACAAAAGCTGAGAGAGTTCATCACCACTGGACTTGCCTTACAGGAAATGCTAATGGGAGTCCTTAAATTGAAATGAAAAATGCTAGATGGCAACACAAAAGTATACAAAAATATAAGGCTCTTTGGTTAAGATGAATATATAGGCATATACATAGTACTGTAATATTGTAATGGGTGGTGCATAAATAATTTTTAATTCTGGTGTAGGATTTAAAAGATAAAAGCTTAAAAAGCAACTATTATTATAAAACTATGTTAATGGATACAAAATGTAAAAGATATAATTTGCGAGATCAATAACAAAAAGGGGTGGAGGAAGATAAAGAAGTAGAGTTTCTGCATGTGATTGGAGTTAACCTCTTACCAGTTTAAAATAGGTCGTTATAAGATTTTTATGTAATTTCCTATGATAGCCACAAAGAAAATACCAACCAAAGATACACAAAAGAAAATAAAGGAATCAAAGCATGTCATTACAAAAAAATCAAATGAAACACAAAGGAAGGCAGCAAAAGAGGAACAAAATAACAAGACATACAGAAAACAATTAACAAAATAGCAATAGTAAGTCCTTCCCTATCAGTAATTACTTTAAATGTAAATGGATTAAACTCCTCAATCGAAAGACGCAGAGTGGGTGAATGGATTAAAAAGAATAAAACAAGATCCAACCTATATGCTGTCTACAAGTGACTTACTTTAGATGTAAGGACACACATAGACTGGAAGTGAAAAAATAGAAAAAAATATTCCATGCAAATGGTAACTAAAAGAAAACAGGGTTGGCCATACTCATATTGGACAGAATAGACTAAATCAAAAACTGTCCTGAGTGACAAAGAATGACATCATATAATGATAAAAAGATCAATTCACTGGGAAGATATAACAATTGTATATGTACTTAACCTCAGAGCAGCCAAATATATTAAGCAAATATTTACAGAGTTGAAAGTACACAATAATAGTAGATTTTATTATCCCACTTTCAATAATAAATAGAACAATCACACAGAAGGTCAATAAAGAAACAGAGGACTTGAACAACACAATAGACCAGTTGGAACCTAACAGACAAATCCAGAACACTCCACCCAACAGAAGCAGAATATACGTTCTTTTCAAGTGCACATGGAACATTCTCTAGGATAGATCACATGTTAGGCCACAAAACAAGTCTTAACAAATTTAAGAAGATTCCAATCATACCAATTATCTTTTTTCAACTACAATGAAATGAAACTAGAAATGGATAGCAAAAAGAAAATTGGAAAATTCACAAATACGTGGAAATTAACACATTCTTGAACAGCCAATGGATCAAAGAAGAAATCACAAGAAAAAATTTAAAATATCTTGAGACAAATGAAAATACAACATACCAAAAGTTATGGGATGCAGCAAAAGCAGTACTAAGAGCACAGTTTATAGGGGTAAATGCCTACTTTAAAATAAAAGAAAGATCTCAAATGAATAACCTAACTTTATACTTCAAGAAACTAGAGAAAGAAGGACAAACTACACCCAAAGTAAGCAAAAGGAAGTAAATAGAGCAGACATAAACAAACCAGAGAATATAAAACCAATAGAAAAAAATCAAAACTAAGAGCTGATGTTTTGAAAAGATCAACAAAATTGACAAACCCTTACCTAGACAAAGATACAACAAGAAAACTATAGAACAATACTCTTGATGCAAAAATCCTCAACAAAATACTAGCAAATTGAATTCAACAGCACACTAAAAGGATTACTTACACTAAAAGGATTATAACCAAGTGGAATTTATTTCTGGAATGCAAGGATGATTCAAATACAAAATCAATATAATATACTGTATTACTAGAATGAAAGACAGAAATCACATGATCATTTCGATTGATGCAGAAAAAGAATGTGACAAAATTCAACAACTTTTCATGATAAAAACACTAAACTAGGAATAGAGAGAAATTGCCTCAACATAACAATGGTCCTATATGAAAAGCCCACAGCTAACATCTTACTCAATGGTGAAAAGCTGAAAACTTTTCTTCTAAGGTCAGAAACAAGGCAAGGATGCCCACTTACACCACTTGTATTCATGATAGTACTAGAAGTCCTAACCAGACCAAGTTAGGTAAGAAAAAGAAATAAAAGACATCTAAATTGGAAAGGAAAAAATAGAGTGATCTCTGTTCACAGATGACATCATATACGTAGAAATCCCTAACAATTCCACAAAAACTGTTAGAACTACTAACTAATTCAGCAAAGTTGCAGGATACAAAATCAACATACAAAAATTAGTTGCATTTCTGTATACGATCAATGAACAATCTAAAAAGGAAATTGAGGAAACGATCCTATTTATGACAGAATAAAATAGTAATAAACTTAACCAAGGGGATGAAACACTTGTACACTAAAAACTACAAAACATTGCTGAAAGAATTAAGGAAAATAAAAATAAACGGAAAGACATTCCATGTTCATGGATTAGAAGACTTAATTGTGTTAAAATGTCCATTCTACCCAAAGTGATCTACAGATTCAATGCAATCATTATCAAAATCCCAATAGCATTTTTTGTAGAAATTTTAAAAAATCCAAAAATTCATATGGATAAAGCTTAAGGACATTATGCTAAGTGAATAAGCATTTATGTAGTTCTCACAAAAAGACAAATACTGCATGATTCCACTTATATAAGGTATCTAATGTAGCCAAACAGAAAGTAGAATGATAGTTTCCAGGGGCTGGATGAGAGGGAAAAGAGGAATTGTTCAATGGGTATAGAGTTTCATTTTTGCAAGATGAAATGGTTTTAGAGATCCATTGCACAACAATGTGCATATAGTTAACCCTGTTGTACTGTACACTTAAAAATGTTTTAGATGGTAAATTTTATATTATGTTTTTTTACCATAAGAAAAAATTGACAGCTGTCTGCACAGAAAACAAAAAATGAGGGAACTGGCTCACAATGTATTATGCATTACAGTACAATGTGTAAGAGTGGCTGTTCATAAATGATGGTTCTGAGTCAACAAAATGATTAAATATTCAGACCTTGTGTTTAAGAAGGCAGGGAAATGCATAATACATGTAACAAAAATTTTAAAATGTTGGCTGGGTGTGGTGGCTCACGCCTGTAATCCTAGCACTCTGGTTGGTGAAGGTGGGAGGACTGCTTGACGTCAGGGGTTCAAGACCAGCCAATAAGAGGAAGACCCTGTCTCTACTGAAAATAGAAAAACATTAGCCTGTGTGATGGCTTGGGCCTGTAGTCCCAGATACTCAGGAGGCTGAGGCAGGAGGATCAATTGAGCACAGGAGTTTGAGGTTGCTGTGAGCTATGATCACACTATTGCACTCTACCCAGGGTGACGCAGGGAGATGCTGTCTACAAAAAAAGAAAAATCTTAAAAATTTTTTTTAAATGTTTTAAACAAATTTTGGTCCCTTGAAAAGGGTTATCCTTTTGTTTTTGGAAAATTCATTCAGGAAGAACATTTCATTCCCTAGGAAGGCTGGATAAATGGCATGAAGTTGAAATGCCTCCTCCCTGAAGTATTTTAGGTGCCACCAGGCTTCCACGTGAGAAAGTTAAAGCAGAAAATGCCAGAGGCTGACAGTTAAGAAGAGCTATAATGTGTACATGTATTTACGTATCTGTCTGTTTCTCTCCAGAGAATCATTACATGAGAATCAAAGTTCCAGCTATCTCTCAGTTGGACCACTTCATTTAGCCATTCTTGACAATACAGAGTTAAAGGTGGGCATCACTGGAGGTGGCCACCTAGGGAAGCAGCTGGCTGGAACACTGCTGCAGCTTGTCCCCATCCCTGCTGAGAGCCTGCGGATCTCCACTAGGAGGCCAGAGGCCCTGGGTGAGGAGCAGTGTGTGGCGGAAAGGGGGCTTGTGCTGTTTAGGTGTTGATGAAATCGTCTTGAAAGGATCTCTTTAAAGAGCAGTCCTGGTATATAGCAAGCTGACTTCTCAGCTTGCTAGCCTTAAGAAAAGCTAGAAAGATAGCTTTCTAGCTTGTTCCTGGAAACAACTTGTCTTCTCTACTTATATGTTTTATATCCATCTCTCCTCTCTCTGCCCTTGGTGGTGAATTATCTTTTTGGGTCTTTGATACAGGGAAGCTTTCCATACAGAGTTCAGATCTTCTAACTGAACCAGTTAGAGTCGGGTGGGTGTTAAACAGTTCCAAATATTTGCATTTGGCCTTATATTTTTAAATATAACATTTACTGAATTTTAAAAGGTTTTATAATGATTCCATTTAATAATCCATGGTGATAGAAATCAGAACAATGATTGCTTCTGGGGAGACAGACTGAGAAAGTCCTGAAAGAACTTTCCGGGGAGATGGAAATGCTCTATATCTTAAGAGAAGTATGGGTTACATGGCAGTACGTGTTTGTCGAAACTGATTATATACTTCAGATCTGTGTGTTGCACTGTATGTAAATTATACTTCAATAATAAAAATATAAAATAATAGGCCGGGCGCGGTGGCTCATGCCTATAATCCTAGCTCTCTGGGAGGCCGAGGCGGGCAGAAAGATTCCAATCATACCAATTATCTTTTTTCAACCCCGTCTCTACTAAAAATAGAAAGAAATTAATTGGACAACTAAAAATATATAGAAAAAATTAGCCGGGCAGGTGGCGCATGCCTGTAGTCCCAGCTACTCGGGAGGCTGAGGCAGGAGGATCGCTTGAGCCCAGGAGTTTGAGGTTGCTGTGAGCGAGGATGATGTCACGGCACTCTAGCCTGGGCAACACAGTGAGACTCTGTCTCAAAAAATAAATAAATAAATAAAATAAATAAATAAATAATATAATGCCTATTGTTGAAAATTTAGAAAATTACTTTATAAGCAAGAATATAACTATTTCCTTCCCAATTTTTCCTCTCATATCAGTAATTGTTACTATACATAATTGTTTATATTCTGCTTTTTTCACTTAACATATCATGAGCATATTCCCATATATCATTTAATATTCTTCAAAATAATGATTTTAAAGCCCCTCCATTGTCCCACAGGCACAATGTGACCCCAGCAGGCTTTGAGAGCACCCCCCTGTGGCTCCCTAGAAGGGGTGTGTTTGCTGCGCCTGGTGTCTGGGCTTGCAGACTGAGCAGCATGTGCCCAGCTAGGAGCGCCAGAAACCCAGCAACACTCTCCCTTTCTCTGTTTTCTTCTCACAATTTAAAATTATATCAGTAAGAGATTAATTTTAATGTAAAAAAAACTATTTTAAGGTTGTACAGTATTCCAAAGTATAGATATACCATAATTTATATAACTATGCCCTATTTAATTGAACTTCCTTGTATATAATTTTCAAAATAAAATTACTGGGTCAAAGAATAGTACAGCTTTATTAAAATATTATTTGTATACAATAAATTGGGACATAGTTAAAGTATACAATTTGATGTTTTGACACGTGTATACCTGTGAAACTATCAGTACAATCAAGGTAAAGAACATATCCATCACTCCCAAAAGTTGCTTCTTGCCCTTGGTAATCCCTATCTCTACCTCCCTGCAGCTCTCCACCCAGGAACCAATGATCTGATTTCTGTCACCATAGATTAGTTTGCATTTTCTAGAATTTTCTATAAACAGAGTCATACAATTTGCACTTCTTTGAGCCTTTCAGTCTGCATAATTAGTTTGAGATATATCCAACTTGTTTAATGTACAATATCCTTTTTATTTCTGAGTAGTATTTCATTGCATGATTATTCCACAGTTTATCTATTTACCTGTTGATTCAGGTTGTTTCCAGCTTTTGACTATTACAAATAAAGCTGCTATGAATATTTTATAGAAGTGTTCACGTGGGTAACTGCTTTCATTTTTCTTGGGTATATACCTAGCAGTGAAATGACTGGGTAATGTGGTATATATATGTTTGATTTTTAAAGAAACTTCTAATAGGCCAGGCACAGTGGCTCATGCCTATAATCCTAGCACTTAGCACTTTGAAAGGCTGAGGCAGATTGATCACTTGAGGCCAGGAATTCAAGACCAGCCTAGGCAACACAGCAAGACCCCTTCTCTACAAAAAATAGAAAAATTAGCCAGGTATAGTGGTACATGTCTATAATCCTAGCTACTTGGGAGGCTGAGGCAGGAGGATCACTTGAACCCAGGAGTTGGAGGTTGCAGTGAGCTGTGATTGTGCCACTGCACTCCAGCCTGGGTGACAGAGCGAGACCTTGTCTCAAAAAAAAAACCAAAAAACAAACAAAAAAACCCTTCCCATTTCACTACACCCTTGTCAGTGCTGGGAATCATTCTTAACATCACCATTTTAATATGCTTTTAAAATTTTTCTTGTTCTAATATGTCTTTCATTGATCACTAGAAAAATTGAATGTTTTTCATAGGTTTATTGCTATTTCATCTTTTTTGAGTTGCTTTTGTCCATTTTTCCTGTTGGAGTGCCTGTATTTTTCTTACTGATTTATGTGTTCTTTCTATATTTAGTAAACTTAAAAGACATATTACTACTCAAAGCATATTTTTTGATCCCATCAACAGGACTAACATACATGATATTTCAATAAAGTACATATATTCTTTGGGAAGCAATATGTTTGTCAGTAATAAAATTATAGTTTTAAAATGTCACTACATGTTGTGTAAGGAAACAAGAATTCAAAATGCTCAGCATCAGCTCCTATGCACATGAAAAGAACGAGAACAACATGTGAAAGAATGATAGATGTCCCTGTTCTCTAAATTTTGTCTTTGTCCTATCCATCTTTCAGGTTTATGAGTATCCAGATAACTTCTGCTTCACACTTGTCATGTACTCTTGATGGTTAAGATAAGAATTCACCTCTCCAATGTCTGTCATATTCTGTTTTCCAATAACACTTAAAACATAACACCAGATGTGAGTGTACATTTTAAATTCTTACTTTTGAAAATCCATGTTGCAATAAGTACCATCAAATGATTAACTACCAGTGTTTTTATGCAACTACACATTTCTCTCTCCATTTATAAATATTCTATTAACATTAAGTTATATATACTTTACAGAAACTGTTAAAATATTTCCAGACTCCTCCTACTCTCTGCTCTACTCTTCCACTCTCCTAGTCCTTTCCCCAACTCAAGCCAGTGAGCTGTGTAACTTTGGGCAAGCCACGTAGCTTCTTGAAGCCTCAGTTTCCTCATTTATAAAATGGGGATAGGCTGGGTGTGGTGGCTCATGCCTGTAATACTAGCACTTTGGGAGAACAAGGTGAGAGAATCACTTGAGGCAAAGAGTTTGAGACCAGCCTGGGCAACACAGTGAGACCCCATCTCTAAAAAAAAAAAAAATGGAAAAATTAGCTGGGTGTGATGGCACACACCTGTAGTCCCAGCTACTCGGGAGGCTGAGGCAGGAGGATTGCTTGAGCCCAGGAGTCTGAGGTTGCAGTGAGCTATGATGATTCTGCACTTTAGCCCGGGCAACAGAATGAAATCAAGTCCCAAAAAAAAAAAAAAAAAAGCGTGGGATTATCCTTTGATTTGTGTGGCAACAAGCCTTGGGTTGATTTACCAAGATAAATCTCCCCATAGTTAATGTTCAGGTCAACCTCCTTTGTACTGTGCTTTCTATCCTCCTTTATCCTTTTCAGATGAGTTCCAGAAACTGGGGATCCAGTGCTTTTACCATAACTCTCATCTGGCAAGTTGGGCCAATGTGATATTCCTCTGCTGCTTGCCATCTCAGCTGTCCCATATCTGCTTAGAAATTCAAACCAGCCTTGAGAAGACCTGCATCGTGTACAGCTTTGTAGCTGCCACCCCACTACCCAGGTATCCTGTTAGGGTAAGAACAACAGAACTGGCAGAACTGCTCTGTCTACGCATCTCTAAATTCTGCCTCCTACCTCCACTGTAGCCCCTCCCTCTTGGAGTTGGTTATTCCCAGTAGCAAGGAGGAAGCAGCTTTATGTGTAGAAGGACCCAGTCAACATTTCGTTTCTAATTGTATCTTCCTCACTTACCCACAAACAGCACTTGTCGGTTGGACATTTTCTTTGCTGTACAAATGTTTAGAACTACAACAGAACTTTACCTCCCACTACTTCAATACTGAATAGTATTAATATTCTCCTTGTGCATCAATGAAAAGGAAAACCACTAGTCAACAACATGAAAAGTTACTAAAAGTTATGTGTCAAATATTATTTCTGTACCCCTTGTATCTAGCCCCATGCCTAGCACATGATAACAGTTCATAAGTAAGTATTTGTTAGGTGGATGGAACAAGCCAACTAATTAGTGCCCTCAGTGCAGACCCAGACCTGCATTTGCCTCTGAGTAGTGCTGTGCAGGGAGTCTGTTGCTGGAGTTGGATGTAAATACAATGGATTATGTAGTCGTTCACTCTAGTCCTAGCACTGTAATCCTTGTCTTAGTGGCTTTACTTCCAGGTTGAAACTACTACTGAATCACACCAATATCTTGCGACCTCGATATGAGTGTGTTGAAGACTATGTTAACATCTGGGGGGCCAATAAGGAAGTTGCAGCTGCTCTCCAAGATCCTGTGATTCTTCAGGCTACCTGCCCCTACAGTCCTGCTGGTAATGGGTCAGCGTATGTCTGGCATTCTTTGGAAAATTACCTTCCCTTTGGCCTGTTGCTATCTTATTAAATCCCAGTCTGTGTTGGGGGCGGCGGGGGGCACCCTAGATATATTCTCAGTTATTTTAGGTTTTGTACTGAAACAGTGTTTGGTGGTAAAAAGCAGCCTTTATTAGGGAGAGCTGAGAAGCTTGATTATTTAGACCGTTTAAGGACAAACTGGAAACAACCAAAGATAGCTTATTTAAACAGGAGGATGCAATGTCTGGGACTTAAATGGCTTTTCCCTGTTCTAATCTTGCAGTTTTCCCCAGTTCCTTCTTCTTATCAACAACCACTCTAGAGACACTTCTGCCATTAGCAATGTCTACACTAGTTGTATCTGTCCTCCTTTGGGATGGTCAAAACCTGGGTTATAAAGGGCAGAAATAGGACTCTTGGCCTAGGAAGGAGGAGTATTTGCTTATCTCATGGTTCATATTATTAATACCAACCTGTCTTAGAAAAAAGGTGGCTGTTCACTGGAGTTTGTTCTAGGTTCCCTGCAACTCATTTTTGGTGGTGCTAACTGCTATTTACCTTCTCATTGATGTGTAGGGGGAATCACCCTCAACATCAAGTGGTTGGAGGGAGTGTTCTATGCAGCCCTAAACATGTGCACAGCAAGAAACATGGCCACCCCAGAAGCGCTGCTGCTTCTGAATAAACTGTTTTTCTCTGTGCATTTCAAAGACACAGCATCTTGCCCAAAGTTTCAACCAACAGATTTTGTCAGCAAAGCCTATGTCAAGAACTTGTCTCAGAAAAGGTAAGGTGTCAGACAGCTGGCCATTCTAATTTCTCCCACATTCTTGTCTTAGCAGATGCTGTTTTCTTTTATCCTTTCAGATTCTTTTTATTGATAAAAATAACATAATTTTGTAAAAAAATTCAACTAGTAGAAAAGTAAAAGCCCTCCTTTGCCTCTCAAATCCTATTTTATAGATTTTACCTCTAATGTTTTTTACATTTCTGTCTTTTTATCTATGAATTTACAAACATATTATATTGTCATTACATTATAACATGTATGCCTATCTATTCCTATATACACAGTGTTAGAAACATGGGCACTACACACACTGCTTTTTTGCTTACTGTATCACAGATGCCATTCTATATTAGTACAATCATAGCTATTTCATTTATGAGCAGGTGCATAGGTATACTGGACAGGACACATTTCTTTAATTAAATTTCTTTACTCTGTTTCCACTTGATAGACATATAGTTCCTTCCCTTTGTTCCAAATTTTGCAGTAAGGGCTGCTTTGAACATTCTTGTACTTACTTTGCACATTTGTACCAATATTTCTGTTGAATAAATACATGAAAGAATTTCTGGGTCTAAGGTTATGTACATTTTATGTTTGGTAGGTATTCCTAAATTGCTTAGCAAATATGTGGTGCTCGCTTACATTTCTACCAAGAACATATGAGGGTGCCAGTTCTCTATAGCTTGATAACTACAAAATCAATTTTTAAAATATCTGATAATCTGATATGCAGAGATTGTTGCTCTTGTTACCAGTGACTACCATGTCATTAGATTCACTGCACGCTTTATTGATTGATTGATTGTCTTGCTTTGTTGCCTAGGCTAGAGTGCCATGGCGTCATCATAGCTCACAGCAACCTCAAACTCCTGGACTCAAGCAATCCTTCTGCCTCAGCCTCCCGAGTAGCGGGGACTACGTACAGGTGCACGCCATCACGCCTGGCTAATTTTTTCTATTTTTAGTAGAGACGGGGTCTCACTCTTGCTCAGGCTGATCTGGAACTCCTGAGCTCAAGCGATCCTCCCACCGTGGCCTCCCAGAGTCACTGCACACATTAAACTCCTTTTCTTCCTTAATTTTAGATTCCTTTTCTTCCTTAACTCCTTTTCTCCCAGAGTCACTGCACACTTTAAACTCCTTTTCTTCCTTAACTGCCATCCTTCTTGAAGTAGGCTCTTCTCTTGGCGTCCATGATCCCTCACATTCTCATTTTCTTTTTGGCTCTCTGATCCCTCCTTTGTGAGCTCCTCCTTTTCCCCACCCTTAAATCTGGGAGTTTTCCAGGCTCTATTCTAGACCCTTTTCTTCATTTCATTCTACGCTTTGTCCCTGGGTGACCTTTTCCACTTTGGGGACTTAGGTTGCCACCTTTATACTGACAGCTTGTAACTCTCTATCTCTAGCCTAAATGTCAGTGCTGCACCTAGGTAAGTGCACACTCACGATCTCCACACAAACTCACCATGTCCAAAAGCTACCTGCTCTCTTCTAGTGTTTCTTATCTAATTACATGCTGCTTCACCAAGTTGTTTAAGTCAGAACCCTGGAAGTGATGGCCGGGCATGGTGGCTCACACCTGTACTCCTAGCACTCTGGGAGGCTGAGGCAGGAGGATCACTTGAGGTCAGGAGTTTGAAAACAGTTCTTTCACCAAAGGATCCTTTCATGTTGCCCCCACCCACAAAACTTGGCAACTACAAATCTGTTCTTCATTCCTACAATTTTTTCATTTTAAGAATGTCATATAAATGGACTAATATAGTATGTAACCTTTTGGGATTGACTTTTTTTCCTTCAACGTAAGTCTCTAGAGATAAATCCAAGTTGCTGTGTGTATTAACAGTTTGTTTTTATTACTGAGTAGTGTATCATGGTATGGCTGTATCACAATGTGTTTAACCATTCACCTGTTGAAGGACATCTGGGTTGTTTTCAGTTTTTGGCTAGTACAAATAAGACGTCTAGGAACAATCATATATAAGACGTCTATGAACAATCATATACAGGTTTTTGTGTGAGCGTAAGTTTTCGCTTCTCTGGATAAATGCCTAGGAGTTGTAATTATTGAGTCAAATGGTAGTTTCATGTTTATTTTTTTTAAGACACTGCCAAACTTTTTCAGAATAGTACCAAGTATTATTATAGCAAGTATGACCCAGTTTCTCTGCATCCTCACTAGGATATGGTATTGTCACTAATTTTTATTTTACCATTATCTCTATAGATCAATTTGTAGAGAACTGACATCTTTATTTTGTTGAATCTTCCCATCCATGAATACAATATGTATCTCCATTTATTTAGATCTTCTTTATTTCATCAGCATTTTATAGTTTTCATCATATAAGTCCTATACATGTTTTATTAGATTTACACTTAAGTATTCCATTTTTTTTGGATTATAAATGAAATTTCCTTTTTAATTTTGGTGTTATGTTCATTGCTAATACATATAAACACAATCAATTTTTTTATATTTATTTTGTATCCTGCAATCTTGCCAAAGCTATTGGTTCTTGGAGGTTTTTAAACTATTAATAGATTCCTTGGGATTTTCTATATAGATAATCATGTCATCTATAAATAGAGACAGTTTCATTTCTTCCTTTCCAATTGGCATGCCTTTTAATTTCCTTTTCTTGCCTTATTGCACTGGCTGGAATTTCAGGTACTATGTTGAATAAGAATTGTAAGAGCAGATTCCCTTGCCTTATTTCTGATCTTTCTTTGTTTTTTTGGTTTTTTTTTTTTTTTTTAAGAGACAGAGTCTTGCTATGTTGCCCTGGCTGGCCTCAAACTCCTAGGTGATCCTGCCACCTCAGCCTCCTGAATAGCTCCTGAATAGCTTTTTTTTTTTTTTCCCCACAGCTTTGGGGGAATTTATTGAGAGCAGGTTTTGCTACCAAAAAGGGTGCTGGGCTTTTGTCCGTCATTGGCAGGTGTCACAGCTGGTCGTCTCTTTATTGCCATCAGTTGGTTGGCCAGACTGCAACAACCACAATAGCCACGAGCAGCAATAAAATCACCATGATCATCCCACAAGAGGAGGACTTCCTGTCCACAATGTTCACATGCCTGGTGTGCCCATTTCTTGTGATTTTTTGAAAAATATAAAAACCCCATGTCTTAATGCTTTTAAACTTACACTATAGACTAATATTCAATATCACCCCATTTTGTTTACACATTAACTTCTACATTTTTCTCTATACAGCTAAAGAGGATATCTTAAAAGCAATTAGATCTTTTCCTTGCTTAATGTCTGTGATCCTCTTACGTATGTTCTTTCTAAATTCAAGGAAAATATACTAAACAGGTGTCAATGTCAATATTATAATCATTCTCTAATTATGAATTCCTCTCCAAATGCACTTATAGAAATATGTGTATGAAAAATCATAAGTATTAATACAATTAAATCTATATATTGAATAGTTCTAGCAGAATTTTTAGTTTAACTATGAATTTTAATTAGTTTGGTATTCCAAGTGAAGGAATATTTTCTTTAAAGGAAGTGTTTAACAGCCAAATCAGATATATTGAACAGATATAAAAAAGTAACAGTATTTTCTTTTTCACCCCAGGTCTTTCCCTTGGTTTGATCTGACTACTGTGCAACTCAAGCAAACTCCCTTTAGCCAGCATCTCTCAACCAGTATTGTTCTCCAAGACCACCTTACCCATCTATACTGTGATTTATTTGGCATCTCCCTGACCAAAGAACAGCCAGTGGTTTCCACAGGCTCTCCATCCCAATAAAAGAACTCAGGAAATCAGAATTTTCTTTCCCCCTCACAGATTTTCTCTATAATGGTTGTGCCCTGATTATCATAATTGACAGTAGGAGTCATGTGATTATATTGTGTTTGCCACATGTTAGGCACTAAGAATCAGAAAACTGTACTGATGGCTTTTCAAAATGGAGAATAAAACAAGTGGTCCTATATGTCAATATGTGTCTGGCTGTCAGAAGCAACCAATGAAACTATGCAACCTAACACACTTAAGTAAGCTGCTTTCCCAGAAATACAAATTATTTCTCTTCTAAAAGCTAAATTCAAGAAGTTTTAATGTCATTATTAGACAATTACATATTGCAGCTTCTTTTCTAATCAATCATATTCCAAAATGATTGGCAAACTCCAATCAATTTGCCAGCAGTATGTGGCTGGCAAATGATACAGCTTGATTTTCCTACAATTTTGGATAGAGAAGTAAATGTATGGTAAACAACCTTAATTGAATTATGACTCATTTCATGCTTATTTCAGCGATATAAGACAGTTCTAGTGCCAACTTATTTAAAGCTATTCCCATTTAAACCATTTAAAACCATAAACCTTTTAAAAAAATAACTGGTATTTATATTAAATGGCTAAAAATAATTTTTCAAAATATAGTTCTTCTATAGTACACAATTATTTCCTCTATGTTCTGCAGATACTTTTTGTTAATTATAATGGAGTTGAAAACAAGAGCAGTGACACCATCAAGCTGGGAAACGATGTCGCTTACTATGCTTTGTCACCAAACCACTGTTTGCTTAATGCTAAAGTGCTTTTGAACAAAACCATTCACAATACATGTAAATCATCATGGTCTTAATCATTTACATTTTGGTTTTTGCATAATCATGAGCCAGGCAAATACAATGGTACGGTGTTAGAATGGTTTCCAATAAAATCTTATTCCAATTTGGGAAAAAATTAGGTTCATCATCAAATATTAACACTTGTCGTGAGTGTTCATTTGAGCCCCTTTTCCTTATATCAGTAGAAAAAAGAAAAAAGAAACATTCCTTTTACTCATCATTCAGGTGTAGGGAACTAGACAAGGTACACCACTGCCATTCTGGATTGCGTTAGTCCTACAGTGGTTTTTAGGATTAAGAAGTGAGACCAGGAGAAGAAAAAGCAGTTAAGTCTGTAAAACTAGAGGGGAACTGGAGTCATTCAAGCAACAAGAAGTATTTTATAATTTCTCTTGAGAAATCCAGTCGTGGGTAGGTAGACTCTAACCTAAATTTCATTTTATAAAGGTCTGGAAGGTACCACCTTCAAGAGCCTTGTAAGCAAACCCAACACTATTTCATAGTCAGTGGTACTTTTATAAGCCATGTTGTTTGTAAGGATATGTACAAATCTAAACAAATTTTTTTTTTAAATTTTTCTATGATGCCAAAAGGGAAAGAGAACTTTCCCGCACTTTTTTGTTAAAACACTTCCTTTAGAGAACTTGTCATTGTAAATCCTTTTTCTGTGCTTTTGAGATGTTAATCTTTTAAAAAGCTGAATAAACTTGTTGCCATTTTATACCCCAGAACCATCTCTCTTTGGGGGGTCTTTGGGCCATCACTTTGAAATGTGAGTATCGAGGAGGAGGGGCCCTGTCTCCCCTTCTCTGTGGGAATTTAGCCTAAGTTTCTGGCTCCAAGTGGTAACTTCCTGCTTGTTGTCAAGATATGTTTTATGTTTCCTTTCGATACAGATAATTAACATGTATGTAAAGGATTACATATGTCTGGCCATCTAAAAGGGTGAGAATTGTCTTTGTAATCTCTTTAGCAGCTTGCCTGTGATGTGTACCACATTTTTTTTTTTTTTTTTTTTTGAGACAGAGTCTCACTGTGTTGCCCCGGCTAGAGTGCCGTGGCGTCAGCCCAGCTCACAGCAACCTCACACTCCTGGGCTCAAGCGATCCTCCTGCCTCAGCCTACCAAGTAGCTGGGACTACAGGCATGCGCCACCATGCCCGGCTAATTTTTTCTATATATTTTTAGTTGTCCAATTAATTTCTTTCTATTTTTGGTAGAGATGGGGTCTTGTTCTTGCTCAGGCTGGTCTCGAACTCCTGAGCTCAAACAATCCGCCCGCCTCGGCCTCCCAGAGTGCTAGGATTACAGGCGTGAGCCACCGCGCCTGGCCGACTGAATAGATTTTAAAAAATGGGGGAGAAGGGACAATTAAATATAGAAAAGTTCCTTACAGAAAAGCTCCTATTAAACATAGAAGGAATGAGGGAAACAGAAGAAAGATGAATGGTAAAATGAGCGGGCAAAACTCCAAGGAGAAACAAGATGTTTGCATAGCTTCAAACTATTAATATCTTCCCAATATATTTATCAGTATAGGTCCATAAACTCTTCGATATTCTTCCCTTTGGGAAGTGAAGTTTACTTCGTCTTCTCCTTAAATGTGAGCTGGACTTAGTAACTCACTTCTAATGAGCAGAATATGAAAAGGGAAACATAACTTTATAGTGAACAAACTTGGCAGACAGAATCTTCTGATATGATGAGATGAGAAGGGCTCATCGCCTCTATGATACTCTCTCCCTAAATCTGTAACTTCTGTCTAATCATGGGAAACATCAGACAAACTAAAATTGAGGGAAATCTACAACATACCTGATCTCTACTCTTCAAAAGTGTCAAGGTCATGAAAGACAAAGAAAGATCAAGAAACTGTCACATATTGCAGGAGACCAGGGAAACATAACAGCTAAGAACAATGTGGTATCCCAGATTAGATCCTGGAACAAAAAATCATCCATCAGTGGAAAAACTGCAGAAATATGAATAAATGTAGTTTAACAATACTATACCAACATTAATTTCTTAGTTTTGATAAGTGTACTATTATTGCATAACATTAGGGGAAGCTGGGTTAAGAGTACACCAGAACTCTCTGGACTATCTTAGTAACTCTTCTGTAAAACTGAAATTACTTGCAAATTAAAAGTTTTAGGCCGGGCGCGGTGGCTCACACCTGTAATCCTCGCACTGTAATGCCTATAGTTTTCAAGAAGACTCTATTACTACATCATCATCATCTCTTGCGTGGAGCATGGTTTTCAAAGGTTGCTGTTCTTGCTTTAA